GGAGTTTGACATCCAGTAAAGATCCAGTACCCGATGTACTAGAGTAAGAATTGTTGATAGCTTTGCGATGAGTCAATTTTCAATTCATTATAATCCAGCAAATCCTGTTCTGAACTTGATCATAAGTTCTGTAAAATCCAGTGTCATAAAACGGATGAGTAAGAGAGTCCACCACGGACTCTTTTGTCTGTTCAGAGAGACCGGGCCTAATTTACCCTCCCCAGGCCTTCAGCATCCATTCTAATACCTCTCGGGGGTGCTTGTGCATAAAACCAGGTCAACCAGGAGGAAGCTAATTTGCTAATAGCCTTCTTGATTGCATAGAACTGGATTCGTTCTTACACTAAACCTGCACTCGTCCTCGCTTTCCGGGCTTTGGTATCTTTCTTTGGTGCACTGCTTAATTATCCTGCCTGTTTCTCTTCCTGCTTGATCAAGTTAATGACATATATTTTTCTGCTTGCATTTATTTTTCTTTTGTATTTTTTATGGCTTGCCTGTTGCCTAACCTCTGCAACTGCTACTCGTTAACTTCAAGTTCTAAGGTGTTTGCATATGCCCAGTGGAACAAACTGTTCCTCGGGACTGTCAGTGTCAGTGTCAATAGAAATGTCAGTAGGAATGTCAATTTGAAGACATAAACCTGTATGATGTGAGAATTTATTGATTATTGATTATTTATTTACTTGATTTCCTGTAACAACTGATGCACAAAAAGGGAATTGAATGAACCTGTACTCAACCTGTCTATGTGCTTCTGATTTTCCTGTCCTGATGACAAAGGTACAGAGTCATTTCCATTCCAGAAACCATATTCCTGATAATCAATATTGGGATGGTAGTAACCCAACCCAATAGCGAAAGTATTAATTAAAAACATCCATCCAGAGCACCCAGTATTCCAGGATTCCCAAGGGGCTGTAATTGAAGCATACAGTCTCTTGGCCCCTTGATTCCAGGTCGATTCAACAGCATTGACCCCTGGTTCACTAGACATACTGTGTCTTATTCACTGTGCTACTTTGGGCCTCTTACCAAGATAATTGGTGCAGAGTAGGTAGAGTAAACTATCTCAGAAATAATCTGGCGCTCGAGAAACCTCGACAGGTTCCAGAAGTCTGTTCAACGAGCGCCCCAGAAATGAAGGCCGTTACACTGCTTTATTTCCAGATACTTTTTCTTGAATGGGTTATTGTGGTCAATCCTTGTCTGAATTCTTATATTTTCTAATGATGTGCAAGGTCGATGAAATTCATATTCAAAGTAACTAATTTATTATTAAGTTATGTGAGCCATCAACTATGACTTCTGCAACCATGAATTTATAAACTCTCCAAGTTGAATACAAACTCCATTGATCTTAGTGTATTATCCTGTAACCCCGAAGTGAACTGTTGTTCAATCTCGATCACTAAACAAGTTCAATCAAGATCAATGTGTTGTGTTCAATGTTCCTGCAATAATATATGCCCATCATTTTCGCAAAACACTCTGATGTATATACGAATATGAGATTTCATACAAGTATAGGTCACAATTACTAAATCTAGAAAAAATCTTGTGAAATAGAGCTGCAATGAAAAATATTTCAAGTACATAAAATACTTGAAGAGATAAAGTGAAAAACTGTTTAGAGGAAATTGCTTGAGCATTATGAGAATGTGATTGAAAAAAAATCTAGAAATTTTTCATCAATTTGGGAGCATGGAGAATTTCATAATATTTTGCAGAGGATGGATTTATCTTGGAAATGAAAACTTTAGTATCCGAAGATGTGTTATTTTCGCGAAATTATTCAATGTTTGGGTTAGTGTGAAAATGTGCTTGTTGTGGTTCATTCCAGTAGTTGAAGAAAAAGTCAATGTTTATTTAATTCTTCTATCAGGCATGTAAGAAATATAGACGAAACTTTTGGTTTCAAAAATGAGGTCTTTGCAATGATTAAAGAGAAAACCAAGCATATGGCAGAACGGCAAAAGCATGGGTGTCTTTTGGTAGACGATTGCAAAATAAACCCTACCAAAAAGTTTGACAAGAACACAATGGAATTTGTGGGATTCGTTAATCTAGGAAAATAAACCCCGAAACGAATGGAAGATCAATTTACCATTTGCTGGTCATTGCTTGCAGGCTCTCGGATGTTTCCTTACAAAAGGAAACATCACATGTGGAAGAACATGGGCGTACAAAACAGTTCACAGCCTTGGTGTGAACATCCAATGAACCCCTCGAGAAAGCTGAGAATGTGTTCTGACTCTCCACACCTGATTAAATGTCTGAGGAATATTCTGGAAGAAAAGAGAACATTTCAGGTATTTTCATTCATAATTATCATAAATTGTCATACATTTCAGCGAACCAGTTCAAATCCTTTGATAGATTCCTGAAGGACTCGTCAAATATGAAGTATTTGGAAAGCTACTTGAACATGAATCCAAAAGACACTTTAAAATGGCTTTCAAATTGACTAAAGCCCATGTACATCCCAATTTCGGAGAAAAAATGTGCACCCGATTAGTATTTCAGGTGAAATGAACTCTGCAGAAAGCTACGCCAAAACCTACTGGGACAACTGATATTTGTAATGATAGTTGATTTGAGTTTATAATGACACAATTTTAATTTCAGCTATTTAGTAATACAGTGACTTCTGCAATAGAAGTGAACTATTCTTAATTAGGCACAGCTACAGAACCTACAGTAACATTCTGTAGAAGAATAAACAAATTAGTGGATTTAATGAATTCCCCAAATCCAAGAACAGCCTTGAAAACTAATTCTGCAAAATACCGGGTAATTGAAAAATATAATTGATTTTGACACCCGTGGTTAGCATCTGATTGTTATTAATGATTGCAATAATTCAATCCTCAAAGGAATCAAGGAATTGCGATTATTTTACCTCTTTCGATTTAAAGAACTAATAGATTTTTTGATCTACCTATTGTGGGAGCAGTGTTCTTCAAAGAACATTTCCTTGTCCCAATCAACTTTTGAAGGGCTTAAAGCCACTATATCTTGTACCTTGGATTTGACCAAATATCTTTCGGAGCTTGGGTTCAAATCCTTCATGACAGCAAGAAAAAATCAAGATCATTTGAAGGTAAAGAAATTACTCAAAATTAGATTATTCAAATGAATTTACTTCTAATTTCATATGTTTTTATTTAAATTGGCAAAAGCTATGAAACATAGTAAATCAATTTGGTAAGTCAATTGTTCAACTCAAGTAATGATCAGAGATGAGTTAAAAAAATTAATAAAATCATACTGATAGATATAGATATCATCTGTCTATGAATGGGTGTTAGTATATTACACACCGAGGAGGGAAGTGATTCATTCCTGTCGTGAGATTAGTTAGTTAACCGAGATGCAAAGCGTCGAAGTTAGCTATAATTTCGAGACAGGAATGAAACTTCCTACCGAGGTTTGTATACTATTTTATTTACAACCATCATATTTCGATCAAAATTGATAAATCTCTGTTTCGTTCTGAACATACCTGAATTATTACATGAGTGAGGGCGGAAAGTGACGGCGGGAAGTAGAGGTGTGTAATGTGACACTTCACAACCTTCAATAACGTTATAATGACAACATCACATATATCGTCGGTGAAATGACAAAACCACGTAAATGACACAACGATGAAAAATAGGATCAAAGTGCCAAAAGTTGTGTCAATCTAGTGCGCATGCATCGCTCAAAGCACGTAACCGTCAAAAGATTCTACGATTCTTGAAATTAGGAAAACATAAACACGTATCTGATATCATCAAATAAGTGATACGCAAAACTACGTAACTGTCAGAACTGTGTTGAAAGTTTGGTTATGTGTGTGTTGTATTAGTTTCAACCGTTTTTTGAATAATACCTTCACACTGTTGAATTAATTAGTGTTTTTGTTTGTGTTACATTGTAGTTTCTTGTATGATAGAAATATACAATCGTAAGTTTGTTATTATTTTATCAAATCTGCCTATCAGATACGTGCTCTCGCAATGACTGGATTCGTACATTTCACGCAGATACGTGCTTTCATCATTTCCAACAAAGATATTCGCACATATTTGGAATTACATAAAATGCTTGAGTGATGAATTTTTTGAAGATTTCCTAGTATTAGCACCATCAGAATCAACAGAAGAAACCATGGAAACTGAACCAGAGCATAATCCAGAGGTGTCTAATTATTCTAATGAAAATACTGAACAGAATGGGAACATCTCTAGTGATACTGTTCAGATTTCCGAGAATAACTTATGTTGTGAGTATAGACAAAATTTTAGGAAATCGAACAATATTCAATATTGTGTGATTCAATTATAGATGAACCAGCTCAGTTTTTCGTCATGGCTATGGATAGGGTTATTATTGTCGAAGATAAATCTCTGCACTGTGGTAACGCAATAGTTCCTGATGAACTGAATCAATCAGGACCATCACTTGAAACCACCCAGCCACTGAAAGAACTGATGCAGCCAGAACAACAAAATTCAGATGAGGAATACTTTCCTGAAAACGATGAGTCTGGTAACTCTGATGGTACAAGTGATGCAGAACAACGTGAAAATATTGAGAACAGAGCTATTGGAGATACTCCAACGGAAAATGCCACCGTAACAAGGGGTAATAAAAAAAAGGAAATAAAATACTCAGGGAAAAAAGCTTAGCATACAAAGGATTGAGACGAAATAAAGGAACTTCAAAATTTCTTTATGAAATTGATAGAGAAAAAAGCATTTTGAAACCCACTTGTGCATCTCCAATGTGTGAGAAGAGTAAAAATAGGTTTTGCCAAATTTTCACTGCTGCCGACCGTGCACAACTGTTTAAGAACTTTTGGCAAATGTCTTGGGACATGCGCAAAGTACATGTTTCTACAACTGTCAAATCGGTACCACCTAAACGACCTGCCTGGAGACAATTCTAGACGATCATTAACTCTGCAGTATTACCTAAGAAAAAATAGCGAAATGTTTCAGGTCTGTAAATTAATGTACTCGCATACTTTTGGTATCAATGAATGGATGATGAAACACTGGGTGAATAGTGGAGTGAATAACGATCTCAAAGATTCTAGAGATCTGAATGTTCCTACAAGGCAACGTCTCAGTAATGAGATGAAACAGAAGATGGAACTTATGAAGGAGTTTTCGAAAGATTTGCCAAAACTAGAATCACATTATTGTAGGGCTTCCACATCAAAATTGTATTTGGAGCCACTTTTTCAAACTAAAATGGACGTTTACAGACTTCACAAGGAACACTGTATACAAAATAATATGACAGCTCTATGCGCTATATCTTTCAAACAGGAGATGAAGAAGCTCAACATTGGTATCCACCGACCAAAAAAGGATCAATGCGATCTATGCATTGGTCATAAAACTAGAAATATTTCAAACGAGATTTACGACAATCACATCAGAAGGAAGGATCAAGCAAGGCGTCAGAATCAAGAAGATAAAGACCTTGCATGCACTAGAAAAGATGACGATGGACTATGGATGTTCAGGCGGTGAAATTGGCTCAGGTGTTGCATGCATCGGCTATCTATTACAAAACTAAGTTGAGTGTCCATAACTTCTGCATGTTCAATTTAGCTTCGAGGGATGTTTATTGATATTTATGGTATGAGGCAGAAGGCGGTCTAGAAGCTAGAGTGTTTTCTACAATAATCACGAAGCATCTTGCAACTTATCTGGAGGAGCAAGCTAACTGTTCTAAGCTTTTCGATCGTCTTACATTTATCCACAGTTAAAAATAAAAATTATTCAATCATATCTGATAGGACTGATTCAATACCTAAAGTTGACCAATAGTTTCATGACCCATAATTTTGTTATTGCTTCTATCTCGATATTATTATATTCTCCCCATCTCTAGTCTATTTGATGTTCCACGTCACCTCTACCACTTCATGTCAAAGTCATTCAATTCGATGATGTTTGATTTTTGACATTTCATTTTTCTTGTCTTCTCAAGAGTTCGTCATGAACAGATAATACTTTTGTCGATTTTTATCTGAATACTACTTAACATGATATTTAAAGTTCCCTAACAAAGGGGTTCCGCAATAATTGCGGTCCCCATTCAACATTTTTATAATTTTTCTTAAACATTTTTCAATAATATAAATATGTGAACATAACTTTTTTCCTCCAGAACAGGTGAGTTTTTTTGCCCTATCGTTGTTGAGGGGTTTGTCTGACCTTGTTCTTCGTTTTTTTCTCACTTTAGTACTCCTATATAACAATAACGCTGATGATGGAGCTTTGAAGCTTCGAAATATGTCCCTGTAAGATTGCTCACAATAAAAAATAGCTTTGGTGGAGTCGACTGTAAGAATTTCGTCCTATCCTGATACATCAATGGTTTGACTAGCAGTACTTTCAATGTTTCTTTTCCAAAAACAAGAGATTTTCCAGTTCAAATGCCAACTCAAAAGGCATATAAGAACCCAATACCAATAACACAAGACAAAAAGGACAACTTAAAAACTTTGCTTAAATGGGTGGAGGAACCATTCAAACCATTTCATGAAAACATTATTCGAACATCAAAAACCAAGAAAGCCACAAATTGAGCTATATTCTATTGAAATAGTTCGATAATAAAAATATTTGTTGTGAGAGAGAGAGAGAATATGCTTTATTGTCTAAAGATGTAAAATCTCATTGACAAAGTAAGTAAAAAAAATAACCTTGAAATAAATATCAAGACTAGAACAAGAGGAAATCGCTACTATAACAACACAATATTTTAAAATCTATTTGAACACTTAGCTAGTTCATAAGGGACACATTACAACATATTAAAATATTCCTAATAAAAATGGTTTTATGGTTAAAATGTATCATCAAAAAACTCTTGTAAACTATAATAGGGTTTATCCGAAAAGAGTGCTTTTATTCTATGCTTGCATTTTTTATTGGATCCAACTTCCTTGGTGTCTTTTGGCAAATGATTGAACATCTTACAGCCTACATAAATTATTGAATCTTTAACTAGAGCCGATGATGGAATTGGTAATTTAATGTTACCTGCTTGTCGGGTGGCATGGTGTGCAGAAACCTGTGTTTTATTGCAGAAGCAACCTTAGTCCACTTCTTTGATATTTTTTTTCGAAATTTGTGAATATTCATATCACATTTTGTTTACTGTATATTCTCACTATAGTGGAAAACTTCAAACCTCAAGCACCTGTTTTACTCAAAATACTCAGATGAACTTGCAGAACGTTTTTTTCACCTCCTGAAAATTGTCAAAAAGTGACTTAGGTTGTTTCTGAAATAAGCGATTCAAATTCAGGTTGGCCATTACATTAATTTTGCAATAGGGATAGGTACTTCTCAATGGAAAAATATAAGAGATAGGGGGACATGGGGTACATTAATTTGTCCTGAGAGGGGAACACTCTTCACATGTACACCATGGATCTTAAGTAGGTACTTTAAATATAATTTTTTATGCATTAAGTACAATTTGATAAGCTTTCAAGTACTCTAGTACCGAGCTGAGTACTAAAATCATCAATATTCATATTTTCAGTACCTTAAGTACGAGTTTGAAATATTTTAAGTACTTTTAGATTACCAGATATTCAAATTTTGAGTATTTCCCCCCCTCGGATTGGAAAATTAATACTCATTATTTAAAAAACAACGCCTAATTTTCATACTATAATACCGAAAGTATTTTCTCTCTCTTTGTGTTGTGAATTGTTCCATATATCTAAAGATATTTGATGAACAACTAAAATTTGTTCAACTACATTTGGAAAAAGATTTCAAGTAGGTATTCTTCATGACATACTTTTCTGTTTTCTTGTGGTATCTTCATTTCAGTATGACATCATTGATATGGAGTAATGTCTAATATATTCTAGTACTACACTCAACACGAAAGAGAAACCATTTTCACTACAATCAATTATTTCCTATACAAGGTACGGTCGGATGCAATGAATATGTCGCACAAGGGCAGAGGTAGAGACTCTAGTCACTTCTACAAGAGCCCTAACACCATCCAACCGTGACATGTATTTTGCATCTGACTGTACATGTGGGGTAGTTTCATTCAGGCATGGGAAAGATATGAGGAACAAAGGAAATACTATTGAATTGTAATTTATTTGAAGAAGATGTTCAGCCACTTTAATACGCCAAGTCATGCAAAAATTGGAAGCATGGATTTGAAATTGAATATATATATTCACTCTTTGAAGTACGCTGGATCACACATTGAACCGCCATTTTCTCGACCTTTCTCATACGGTGGTAGAAATTATGTACCACCTAAATTGAAATTATTTGTGTTGCGTTCGTCGGTACGAAACGTGCACCACCGCATAGAATCATTTCATTGGCGCCTAATGTGTCCGCAGACACAAAGTTGTCGAACTGTGGCGGTTTGGTTTGAGGTTATGGGCAGTTGTTTATTTCTTGCATAGCCTGATGTGACCTGACTTTTTATTCATGAATGAAACTGATATTCTTCATTTATAATTGCTGCTATTGTGTGAATTTTGTGTAATAACAAAACATAAAGGTGAGCTGGTATACATTTTCAATGTACCTTATGTTCAAAACCTGACTTTTGATATTTTTTTTTAGTGATTTAAAATCGTACCACCGTGCTGTCAGAAACATGAACCGGAGGCGTGATGCAAGTAATATATCTACCGCGGAGGTGGGCTCTGTCCATCCAGTTCTCGAGCTCTTGCAGACAATAGGGGGGACTAGTTGTGGTTTGTACAGACTTTTCCAGGTGCACAAGTGTCGTCGACAATGACCAGAAGGTGTTGTCACCGGAGATTCACCTTGTCACATGTATTTTCACCTGTCTCACCTGTGTCACCGAGTGAATTTGCGATTCACCTTGTCTATTTGTGGTTTGTGCAGACTTTTTCAGGTGCACAAGTGTCGACGACAATGACCAGAAGATGTTGTCACCGAAGATTCACTTTGTCACCTGTCACCTATAGGTACATTTCACCTGTTTCACCTACTTTACTGATTCACAATTATATGTTCCAAATTCTAGTTCCACAGACCTCAATCACCCTATATACATGTTTGAAATATCAATTGGATATCGCAAGCTGACCCAGAGGTCAGGATTATCATGTTTTTATTTTGAATGATATGAGACCTTGTTATTCATATATTTTTTTCTGCAGTTCGATTGAATGTTATTCAAAATTCAGCTGACAAGTTATTTGTGCCATTAAGGACCATTTCGGAGAAATTTTGCTGAACTTTCAGTTCCAGGAAAGTATAAAAGCTGTGATTATGTTATACCTCAATATCAGGTATACCTGCTGTGAATTGTTTGTGTTGTGGTAACTTATTGGTGAGTACCTCGTAATATTTTTTATTTCTTGTGTTTTATTGATGGGTATATGCTATCAGAATAGCTATTATCAGTTTGGGTTTATTGAATGAAATCGGAACAGTGGAATATAGGTGTACAATTTATTTATTGATCATGAATCAGGAAGATATGATACTACAATATTTTTATTACATTAGTGAGGGGGCTATACCTTACTAAACGGTCATGTAATATTATACAGTAGGCAGTGGTGTTTGCAGGAATGTTTTGATTTGTTTCAAATTCGAGGCGAATGTCCACACTACCTGTCATTAAAGATTCGTTTTGTCTACTACAATCTATTACAATTGATGGTGCTATATCATGGAATTTCGATAATGTTAGACACGGTTCACCAGAATTTTTATAGTAATATGACTCTTGAAATCGTGCATACATTTCATATATAACAGAAAACTGATATTTATTGAAATTGAGATTCAAATTGTCATAGGGGTACACTTCAGAGTTCAGGTAAAGTTTCATATTGGTGAGATTACAGTGATCGAATCGACTCATATTTTTTTGAATGTCATTTTTTCTGTTCGTTTGGAAACCGACAATAACGAATCTTGGCTTTTCCATTTGGCTGGATGCTTTGACGTTCCAGGAGTGGCGCATAGTTGACTGTAAAAGAGGAAATTCATGATGTTCCCATGACCTGAAGGCTATCTCCAAATCTCTTCCCTTTTCAATATACTTGATTACAGGGCCCACCTCCGCGGTAGATATACTACTGATGCAATATGGTCCAATTTGGTTGACATGACAGAAGATGAACTATATGCAGAAATAGATATGATCGGAAATGATTATATCCAATTCCTTCTGATCGTGACTTAGATAATGATGATGCTTATTACTCTAGCAAAGAGAATGAAAAACAATTTGGTAACTACTTGGGAGAAGCGTGTTTATAATCTCAAAACTCCAGACATATGCCAATTGGTGCGAATATCTTTTTTCTTCGAGCTGCAGTAAGCACATCTTCTGCGACTGGTTCTCATTGGCTGGTGCGCACTTTCTGTTGTTCTAACGTTATTCGAAACAGTGGGTTAATGATAACTTTTCTTCGGAAATCTCTGAGACTAAGTTTGGTATTTTCTTTATGGTAAAGTTCATATAGCACGAATGCAATGGTCATTGC